TATCCACATCATCTATTTCTATTCTATCTATCTATCTATCTATTTATTAATCTATCCTTCTAAACATTTTCTGGATCAGTAATACTCTAAGAATATAGGTTTGCAGCCCGGCTAGCTCAGTCGATAGATCATAAAATTGACTGAACTTGCATCTTCAAAGGAAGGGAAAAAAGTCCCCCCCCATATCTATCTATCCTATTAATCTATTTTGTTCTATCTATCTATCTTTTTCTATCTATCCCTATCTATCTATCCTATCTATTCTATCTTCCTTATCTATCTATCTATCTATCTATCCTATTATCTATCTAATCTATCTATCTAATCTATCTATCTATCTATCTATCTATCTATACATTTTCCCCCGATCAGTATACTCTAAGAAATATAGGGTTTGCAGCCCGGCTACTCAGTCCCTGATCATAAAAAATTGACTGAACTTGCAAATTGCAAAGGAAGGGAAAAATGTTACATCTTCTATCTAATCTATCTATCCCATTCCTATCTATCTATCTATCTATCTACTTTTAAATTCTATCTTTTCCCATCTATTCCCATTATCTATCTTATCTATCTATCTATCTATCCAATCTATCTATCTATCTAATCTATCTATCGGAAGGAAAAATAATCTATCTAAAATCTCTATTCTATTCCTCTATCTTATCTATCTATTTTTTATCTATCATTCTATCGGAAAAGAAAAGGTATTATCTATCTATCTATCTATCCTATTTTATCTATCTATCTATCTATCTATTTTATCTATTCTATCTTAAAAGGGAAAGGAAAATTCTATCTATCTATTTTTATCTATCTATCTAAAACTATTATCTATCTATCTTTCTATCTATCTATCTATCTATCCTATCCTATAAACTATCTATCTATCCCAAACATTTTCTGGATCAGTATACTCTTTCAAAATATAGTTTTGGCAGCCCGGCTAGCTCAGTCGATAGATCATAAAATTGACTGAACTTGCAACTTCAAAGGAAGGGAAAAATGTGTCTATTTTAAAATCTATCTATCTATCTTCCCATCTATCTAATCTATCAATATCTATCTATCTTTTTTACTAAACTTTATCTATCTATCCAATCGGAAGGGAAAAAATTTTATCTATCCTTTTCTATCTATTTTTTCTACTCTTATCTATTTTATTCTATCTTTTCTATCTATCCTTTATCTAATCTTTTTTTCCCTATCCTTTTCCCATCTATCTATCTAAACTATCTATCTATCTATCTACATCTATCTATCCATTATCTATACATTTTCTGGATCAGTATACCTCTAAAAATATAAGGGTTTGCAGCCCGGCTAGCTCAGTCGATAGATCCATAAAAATTGACTGAACTTGCAACCCTTTAAAAGGAAAAAAGGATCATAAAATTTTTCTATCTATCTATCCTATCCTATCTATCTATCTATCTATCTATCCTTTTATATATCTATCTATCCTATCTATCCACAACTTTTCTTTTTTTTCTATCTTTATCATCCCCCCCCGGAAGGGAAAAAATCTATTTTTTCTCTATCTATCTATTCTATCTATTTCTATTTCTATCTAAAATCTATCTAATTTCCCATCATTTTCTACTATTATTTCTATCCTTTTCTATCTTATCCTGAAAGGGGGGGGGGGAAAAAATTCTAAAATTATCTTCAAAAAAAAATTTTATCTATCTATCTATCATTATCCTTCTATTAATCTATTTCTATCCTATCTTTTCTATTTCTATCTATCCTATCACTATCCTTTATCTATTACTATCCTATTTTATCCTATCTATCTACCAACTTTTAAACATTTTCTGGATCAGTATAATCTAAGAATATAGGTTTGCAGCCCGGCTAGCTCAGTCGATAGATCTAAAAATTGACTGAACTTGCAACTTCAAAGGAAAAGGAAAAAAAGTCTTTTTCTATTTTTATCTATCTATTTTCCCCAATCTATTCTTTTCTATCTATCCTATCCCAAACCTATCTATCTATCTATCTATTCCTATCTAATTATCCTAAACTATCTTAAAAAAAATTTTTCATAAATTTTTTTTTTTTTTTTTAATCCCGGGGAAAACTATCTATCTATCTTATCTTTTCTATTTTTTTTATCTATCTATCTATCTATCTATCTATCTATCTATCTTTTTCGGAAAAAAAGGAAAGAAAATTATCTTTTTTATCTATCATTTTCTATCTTTTTCTATCTATCTTATTCTATCTATCTTTTTTATCTATCTTTATCTATTTTCATTTTTCTGGATCATAATACTCTAAGAAAAAATAGGGGTTTTCAGCCCCCGGCTAGCTCAGTCGATAGATCTAAAATTGACTGAAATTGCATCTTCAAAAGGGAAAGGAAAAAAAGTCTATCTATCTATCTATTGTCTTTATCTATCTATCCTATCATCTATCTATCTATCTATCTATCTTCTATCTAATCTATCATCTATCTATCTATCTACTAAACTTCTATTTATCTTCTATTATCTAT